TTTTTTTTTTTTTTTTTTTTTTTTTTTTTTTTAGCTTTGCACTTTTGTTTCTTAGGGTGACATGGATTCTCCAAAATACTTAGGGAATGTCTACTTGCGGGTAGGACAAAAAGAAAAAAAAAGAAATCGTAGGGTTTGGGGAACTTGGCCCCTTTGCAAAAGAGGAGGCAGCACATTCACTTCCTTAGTGAGCAGGAGGAATCTTTCCAGCCTGTGTCTCAACTTGAGAGGAGACCACTGCTTTTCTCTAGATCTAACTGCTGCATGGACTCTGCCACTTTGCCGTGTGAATCCCTCAGCCTGCCCCAGGCTGAAGTAGAGGGCCCAGACCTGTCTTGGCTGTTCTGTCCTCTTGCTTCTCCTCCTCCAGAGCCTTTGCTTTTGCCTCATATTCATCAGCCAGCGCTTTCCACTCCTTCCTGTTGTTCTGCAGGCGGTCAAACATGGGCAGGATCTCCTCATGGAAGCGGGAGAATTCCTGGTGGGGGTCAGGAAGCCAAGCCTGTCTCCGGTTTCTTCGGGACTTGTTGCTGGCCTCTGTCTACCCTGCCTGGCCTCTTGACCATGGGGATCCCTGAGATGGCCGTTTCCCAGGAAAGCCCAGAAGGGGGACAGGCTTGAGTCTGGGGTGTGAGTGCTCGTGATGCAGGCAGGGCAGAAATGTTCACACCGAGAGGGGCAGGCCAGCACGGATGGCTTCTGCGGATGGATGGGGCGCAGGCACAGGTAAGCCACCCACTTCTCTCATGTTCGCACAATCCCATGTACACATGCATACACTGGTATACACGACGGATGAATCTATCTACACACATCACACCCATCACACGTGTACAACCACAAACCATACATATCACGTGCAGTTAATCACATGCATGTCATATGCGTACACACCCATCGCACACATGCAAAACCACCTGTATCACACATGACACCTCACTGGTCACACACACAGGTCACGATGGATGAAGTGAGGAATGCAGCAGGAGGGATGCGTACAGACTGTGGCCTGGGTCCCCCAGGAAGAGTGTCCTTGTTCCTGCCTGTGCACCTGCTCAGTGCAAACCCCGCTTCAAATACAGATGGCATCCAGATAGCAAGTCAGTCACCACCACCAAGAGCAACCAGAGTAGCCTGGCTCCCATGAGCCAAGGTGTTGTGTGGGGCCTTATGTGGGACTCTGCCGTCAGGTCCCTACTGTAGTACCCCCTGCTTCCGGCCAGGTATTTTTGGGGACATACGACAGAACTCTGAGTTCGGTCAGAGATGGGGTCCCTGGCCAGCTGCAGGTCCCTTGGGGCAGGCACCCCAGCACGCACAGGTCAACCCAGGCCTGCCCTTGCCTTCCAGGCAACCCTAAGCAAGGTGTGCCCTGGACCTAAATGCTGTGGGCCATGGCTGGGGTGGCTGGGAAGCACCTGGTTGAGGACAGGTATGAAGAGCAGGCTGCGGGTGTGAGGCGGGGGTGGACCCCCGGTGTCCTCTTGTGCTCAGTCACCCATACAGCCACACCGTGTCCCTGCTGTGGAGATGCTGCTGGCCCTTTGCATTCTTTCCCAGCCACTGCCAGGTTGGCACGGCTGCCTGCTGCCCACCTTGTACACGAACGTGCACACGAAGTCGATGAAGCCGACCTGCAGCTTGGGGAGCTCAGCCGCCTTGTTCCGGTCCATCATGGGCTTATGGGGAAATGGAGGCAGGTGAAACAGGGCCTGAAGTCCTGCCCCAGCCGTCCAGCCCGCCTGCTGGGGCTTGTCCCAGGGCTCTTGGGCTGGCAGCAGTCTGGCTGCTCTAGCTTCCTCGACTTTTGCCTTTGTGCAGGTGTCACCCACTCCTTTCCACAAGGCCACCCAAATGCCTGGCCACCGTCCTCAGCCCTGGGTTGTGAGTACCAAGGTGAGGACCAGTGCCCTGGAAGTAGCACTCACAATGGGCTGCTGATCCAGGACTGTCCTCTCTAAATCACCTTGTTCCCAGAACTCAGCAGCCACCAGAAGTGCAACCTGGGGGCACAAAAGGGTGTCAGGGAGCGGGGCCTGGCAGGTACATGGCACCTCCACACGTTGTCCCCCCTGGAGTCCCAGCCGACCCAGCATGCCCCAGGTGGGGCACTCGGGGCAGGACACCTGTCAGTTCTGACCTTGCTCTGTACTTCCCAGGGCTTGGTGATGGCAGACAGGTCACAGGCAGTCATCATCATGGCCCTGTGGGCGGAGAGGGCAGAGCCACAATTCTCATAGTGGGGTGGGGGTCAGGGCTATTCCTGTGTGGCTGTGGTCACAAAAGGCCACGATCTGAGATCCCCAAATTCTGTCCTGTCTCCCTGAAATGGGCAGGTGAGGATGGGGCAGTCCCCAGGCGTCTCAAGTCAGCTAGAAGCCATCCCCGGCAGAGATGTGTGCTCACATGACGATCTCCTTCCTAGTGGTCTCCAGGGACAGGTAGTCCACCCAGCTCTTCTTGTCTTCATAGTTCTTGGACTCGTCCACAATCTTCTGAAACATTGTCCGCTTCCTGGTTATAGGGAGGGAGCAGTGGCAGAGGGTCACTGACTCTGATGTGGCCCCGTGTCCATCTGCCCACCTGCATGTGGCCCCTCCCTGTACTCACTTAAAGTAGAGGGCCAGGTCCGTGGCTATGATGGCGATGTCCATGAGGTGGATCACGTGCTCGTGCTGCCGCCGGTTCAGGTTCTGGTAGATGTTCAGGCTCTGTGGAGGCCATGCAGTCAGCCCGGGGTCAGGGCAGGTGCCCCGTCACCTGGGGAGCTTGGGCCAGGACTTCCCACCCACAGTGCCTGTCTTCCTTGCAGCCTGGGAATGGGACAAAGACAACCTTTCCTTCCCCATGGTGCCCCTCTACTTGCTGTCCCCTGTGTTTTGTGAGTTGTCCTTGTCCCCCCCCGGCCACAGGCTGTCTGTCCTTGCTTAGGTCCCTGCAGTGGTCATGCCTGCCCACGGGAGGACCTGGCCCAGAAGGAACATAGACCTCTTCAGCCAGCAGGAACTTCCCAAATTCCAGGTGGTGACGTTCTAAAATCGAGGAGCCGTGGAGCTTGGCGAGGGGGTTCTGGGACCTGTCACAGAGTCCATTTCAGATAATCAGAAGGGCAGCCCATAGCCTGCCCTTGTACCCTGGGAGGGTCCCTGACCCCGGGCTGTGACCCTGCTGACCCCAGCAGGTGCCTACTTCATCTGGTACAGGTTGTTGGTGCCACGGTGGTCGATGTCATGGCACAGGCCAGCTGTAACCATGGCAAAGGCTTCCAAGTCTGTGTAGTAGCTTTTCAGCTTGCCTGTCTGTGGGGACAGGAACACATGAGTCCCCTAGGCTGGGGCGGTGGTCTGGGACCTGCTTCCCACTAGCCTGGGTGCCCTGCCTGCTTTGGAGAGCCAGGGCCGTTTCACGCCTAGAGCCCCGGGCTTGGCTCCCACCCTGTTCTGGGCCCGTTTGTATGGCGCTGTGGCCCTGCATGTAACCCCTGGCTCTGTGTGGTTCATGGCTGCTGTGTGTGGCCCTGTGGCCCTGTGTGTAGCCTCATGATCCCATGTGTGGCCTGGTGTGTTTTCCTGAGGACCTACACGTCGCCTCAGCTCTGTGTGTGTTGCCCCATAGCTCTTTGTATAGCCCGTGACCCTGTGTGTGGCTTGGTATGTGGCCCCGTGGCTCTGTGCATGGCGCTGTGGCCTGACGGCCCAGGGTGTGGCCCGTATCTCTGTGTGTGGCCCCGTGGCTCTGTGCATGGTGCTGTGGCCTGGTGTGGCTTCACGGCCCAGGGTGTGGCCCATACCTCCGTGTGTGGTCCTGTGTATGACCCCGCATGAGCCCACCCTGTGCATCCACGCACCATGAGCAGCGTGAACATAGTCTGAGCCACGTTGAAGCCGTGCCTCCAGTTATGGTAGGTGACTCTCCGGTAGGCTTTGCTGACGGAGTACAGGAACCGCACCAGGACCTGGGGGCAGAGGGCGGCTGGCATCTGAGTCTGCCCCAGCTCACTTGGTCTGAATCACCAGTCTCTCAGGCCCCTGCCTCCCTGTCTCCCTAGTTCCTAGGTCCACACCTGTCCTTCCTGGATGGGGCTGGTAGGGAGCTGGAGCTGGACAGTTAGAGCTAAGAGCACCTCCGAGTCCTGAGAATTTGGGGCCTCAAGTCACTGGCCATGTCCCGATCTGGAAAGAGGACCCTGGGGCTGTGCTTTTTTTCTTTTTCTTTTTCATTACTGGAGCTTGAACATAGGGCCTTTGCACTGAACTACATCCCTAGCACTTTTGTTATTTTTTATTTTGAGACTGGTCTTGCTAAGTTACTAAGTTGCCCAGACTGAGGTCAAACTTGTATCCTCCTCCCTCAGCATCCTAGAGTTTACAGGTGTGCACCACCATTCTTTCCTGGATGTGCGATATTTTAAGGGGGAAAAAAATCGGTTTTATGAATGATGTTTGCATGGGCTTGCCTTTGGGCAGAAGGGAGACTCTGCAGACAGCAATCTCTGGGCAAGAGGCTATGGGCCAGGGGTGCCTCCTACTGCTTCCATTGTGATATTTAGGGTCAGAAAATTATTTGAAAACATTTTTTATTCTGTTAATATTTTTTATACAGTTTTATTTTGTGTTTTCCCTTTATACCTAGTAAAACTTCTTTAAAAAAATTCCAGCCTATTCCTCCTCCTCTCTGGGGAGCATGAGAAAGAGGATTGATTGCTCCCTTGAGCTATAGGAAAGGCAGTAGCAGGTGGTAGGCAAGGGGAAGTGAAGTAGGGCAGAGGTGGGTCCAGAGAAGGAGCCCCGCCCATGGGGTCACCCCTCTGGCCAGCTGAGGAGATGCCATGTGCTTCCTGTTTGAGGAGGAGCTGCCTTAACTCCCTCTGCATCCGTGCAAACCCCGTTTCTGCCCAATGACACAAATAATGAGGATTGTCTGGAACTCCTATTAATCTAATTTCATATCAGCCATGTATTACTCATCCATCATCTATTCATCCACCTATCCATCCACTCACCTGTCCACCAAGTATCCAACCATCTGTCCACCCGCGCATCCGCCCGCCCGCCCATCCGCCTGCCCATCCGCCCGCCCACCCAAAAAATCCATCTAATTACCCCTACCTATCCACCCACCCATCTGCCCATCCATCCATCTACTCATCCATCCAATCACTTGTTCTAGACACATTTGCTGTTTATAATTTGTCAGTTCTATAATGAATATATTTGCCCCTCAAATGTTCAGTTGGAAATGTGGCTCTTATCCTGACCATATCCCCCAGTCTCCCAGGGGACCTGGGACCCCCAACCACGTCTCCCACCTCCTGGGGAATCTGGAACTTGCGGACCACGCCCAGCTCATAGTACATCTGGATGCCACATTTGACCAGGTCCAGCTCGGTGCACTCCAGGTCGGAGAAATGGAACTCATAGATGTCGAACTTGGTGGGCTCAGGCAGCTGCTCCTTCTGTGGGGGATGTGGGCTGAGGGAGCAGCTGCTGCGGTGCCACCTGTTTCTGCATCCTCTGTCCAGCCAGATGCCCCCTCACCTCTGGCGATGTCTGCCCTCCAGACACTGCAGCCTATGGCCTGGGCACTCTGTGGCCCTAGCTCAGCCTGTCCTCCCCTCTGCTACTAGCCAGTGACCCCATGAGCACTCACCTGGCTGGGTGGACAGAGTGGTGTTGGAGAAACAAGTGAGCAAACTCTGAGGTGTGCACATGGGAAGGTACACATGGGTACAGACAAATGCGGACACAGGTACACATGTGCAGACACACCCCATAGGCACACACATGCATCCATCGCAATCATACCGCTGATCTCCAGAACTCATCAAGCACATTCACATGCTTAGAGGCCACAGGAAGAATAACCTGGGCATTCTGCCAAGGCACACAGGTGATGGAGATGGAGGTGCCACACTGCCGGGCTGGTCCTGTAATGTCCACAAGAGACGGACAAGCTCATGAACACAAACAGTACACGTGTGTGTGTACATAAGGCATGCACACACATACACACTGGGGTTCACAGGCACCTGGTCCTCCTAGAGGAGACAGCACAGGCTGGTCCAAGTGGTTCCCAAGAGACTAAGATATGGGTGGTTCTGGAGAGGATGGAGGGCAGTTGGGCAGATACCAGGCCAACTCTTTAGGACAATCAGCGAGGAGCACACCTGCACCGTCACATGCCCACCAGTCACAGCAGCACCACAAGACAACAGGCTGTATCAGCACCCTCCCTGCCACCGCAGCAGTGACAGGAGGTGGATTCTCACCAGGATTTTCCCCAGCTCCTCCTCCTCACAGTTGGCTGGCTCCTTCCCCAGGTGTTCCCTGGTTGGCTGACAGACAGCAATGGTGGGTTACAGGACAGGATGGGTGATTATGACAGGGTGACAGTGTCTCTCCCACCCCATGAGCACACTTGGCATGAGATGAGGGGCCGCTGGGTCCTGACAGGCAGTATTCCTTGGCCCAGGCACCCTGATTCCTATGGATGTGGCTGTGCATTGGTAGCTCCCTCTCCTTGCCTCCCAGCCCTGCTCTCAGTGATGCCTGTGGGTGAGAGAGGGGACCCTAGGGGGACATGGAAGGCTCGGTCACCCATTCAGAGCTAAGGCTGAAGCACGGGAAGATTCCAGGCTAGGCCCCGCTGTTGGGCCCCAGGGATGTGTCCTCCCTACTGGGCTCCCTCCCTCCCCTAGACAGAGGGCCTGTACCAGGATGTCCTGGATCTCGTCCTTGTCACATCTCACGTGGTACAGAACCATGTCCTGTGCGATGTCCTTGTGGTTCTCTAGCTTGTTCATTTTGTCGTAGGTGTCTGTGTTCAGCACTGACCAGCCCAGGAACTGTGTCAGGGACTAAGGGTGGGCAGCAGCATCACCACAGTGCCCTTTGTGCCCAGGTGAGCTCCTGCTGTGTGCCTGCCTTGTGGCTTGGACAGGTCCCAGACCCCAGGCCCCCTGCAGCTCATGCCTCTGAATGGGCATCCAGGGCAGTGCCTCAGGAGCATCCTGGCCGCACACTCCCTGACGCTTGGGGACCACTGCCCGTGCTGTGCACCACCTTGCAGAGCTGCCTGTGATGCCGTCATTTACCTCCATGAGGACCTCATCCTGCTCGTCGAAGGGCTTCCCGTCCTTCCTATTGCAGAAGGTGGCCACCCCCATTATCTCCTCCTTCTTGTTGACGATGGGCATGGACAGCGCATTCTTGATGACCCAGCCAGAGTCATCCAGCGGCCCCTCCTGCAGGGAGCAGTGTGGAGCTGAGGGCACTCTGACCTGGGCCTGGCCAGGGCTCTTTTGGGGCAGTCGGCTCCATACCTTCTACTCTGAGGTCATGGTGTGGGTTGTTCTTCCTGTCTCTCTACCCCCTGCCTAGGAACTTGGTGCCCATGGTGTCTGTGGCATGGCTTTCTCACTAGAGATGTCTCACAATGCTGGCTTTGGGGGCACATGAGGGCTGCTACCCCACAGAAGCCCCCTTAGGAAAATTCTCTTAAAGCTCCCAGGGCCTCCCCTTTCCACTTTTTGCTGGGCCCTGAACAATGTAATCGGTCCCACCTCCCACATCCTAGATACTGGACCTGGACAATGAAATGTGGACAGTGGGCTTTTCCTCCAGGATGCCCTTAGACACAAAGTGTTCCCATCAGCGCCCGTGAGTGCCCCTGAAGAGAGCTTCCCTGGCACCGTATCCCCAGGCAAAGACAGGTAGAAGCAGAGGGGCTCTGGACCTTGTAGGGGCTAGGCAGAACCAGCTGAACTCAGACTGATCCACTGCACCCAGATAGGACCAGCTGATCCTCCCCCAAACCCAGTCTGTCTGCAGACCCACGGAACGTGGCTTAATCATCATCAACCACTGAGATCCAGGTTGCTTCTTAAGCATCAAAATCTAAGCCAGCTGTGATTTATGGCCCACAGAACTTTCTTAAGCAAAGCACTGCTTTGTGGTGAGTGAGCATACCTGGAACTTGAACATCTCATCAGCAGTGGCATTCATGATGTTACAGATCTGTAAAGGAGAAACGTGTTATCCAGAGCAGCTGGTGGCACAATGTGATCCACGCCCTGGCAGCCTGGCCTGCCTCCCAGGAGACTGTTCTGATGGCAAAGCTGTCTGTGCTGGCAGTGGGCAGGGTGTGGGGTACAGGAGTGGGTGCAGGCTAGGGAGGATCCAGGTACTCACAAAGCCACTCTCTGCCACGTAGGTTGGAAGGCCACTGGCCAGGGCCCAGTGATTGGCCGGGGGTGTGCTGGGGAGAGAGGCAGAGGGTTAGTGTGGGACGCAGCAACCACAAGCATCTGCTTGATATCATCCTCTGAGCTCTGGGGAGATGGAGGATCAGACAGGGAACCCAGGTCGGGTAGAGAAGCCAGGGGATAAGGCTGGCCTCTATGGGAGTTCCTGTGGCTTTACAGCCTCTGGACTCTTGGTTGCCTGGTGATTCTGGCCCTACTCAAGTTCAGGCCTGGTACCTGGATCCGCCTGTGTGTTTGGGGGCTAGGGATGGTGCTGGATGGGGTCATAGGTCATGACCTTGATCAGGCCCTCTAGGCCCAAGCCCTGGCCTGAGCTCTGGATGGGACCCCGAGAGTGTGAGGCTTCTGGAGATCCCACTTGTGGGGGAGGGTGGGTCCAGCCAAGACCTGAGGGCCTACAAACCCATGGGGTGGGCAGGGCACCTGGGGCTCACCCAACCCTGGGCTGTCCACTCCTCAGGCTGGTCACCCCTCCTCCCTGTGAGGTGCTTCCCTTCCCCAGAGCACCTTGGTGACACAGTTTATGAAGCCCTAGCACTTACGAGATGACCTTGATGTCCTCCTTGCCATGGAGGATGTAGTCAATGACTTTGTAGAAGACAATTTCCTAGAAACAGCACATTAGCATGGGGCTCCCATCTGCTCCTCAGAGGGCGAAACCCAGTATCCCCCAGACCCACGCAATATCCGGGTCATCATATATACCACACATGGGCAGCCACATCCACATGCACACATGTCTTACACACACACACTCACATATGTGCACAGAGACGGGCCCCCACACATGAACACACGCTGTGCACTCAGATTCAGGTCCACAGTCCCTGGGTTCCACCTGCCCTGCATAGTCCCTGGGTCCACAAGACTGCTGAGGCCACCAAAGCCCTGGGACACCACTCTGACATAGGGAGGGGGAGACAGCACCAGCCCGTCCTGTTTCCCGCCCACCCTCTTCCCCCAGAACTGGAGCCAGAACAGCCAGGCTGGGCACTGTATCACCCTGACTCACCCTGCCGTCCGGTGTGCGTGGGCCTGAGTATGACTGGGCTTCTCCCATCATCACAGGCCACACATCGAAGAATTCCTGGGCCGAGGAGAGGAGAGTGAGGAGGATGGCCAGGCAAAGCCAGGCTGGGTGTCCTTAGTCCCCACTGCCTCACCTTCTCCTTGGTCATGTCCAGGAGGCCCACGGAGTACCGGTCACAGTTCAGGTAGGCCCGCACAGTGTAGAAGGCCTTATGGAACTGCCTCTCAATGTCTGTCAGCTCCTCAAACACCTTGTTGGCTGACCAGAGCAGTACCTGCAGGGTGGCACATGGGAAGCTGAGGCTCCCACCTGTCTGTCCATGGTAGTACCAGGTGCCAGGTACACCCAGCATGCTCAGCTCACAGGCATCTGGGCACAGCACCTGGCTATGAAGCTCCAAGGACGCTGGTTGAGGGTGTGTGGTGCATGAGACCACCCACTCCTTGGCCCTGGGACCCTGGGAGCTGCTGGGGGTGGAGGCCTGATGGCTTTGACCATGTCTCCACTGCTGCCTAATCTGGACTCACGGTCAGTGATGAGTGAAAGACCAAAATGATTTGCTCTGAGATTGAAGGTCAAAAACCTGACCTGCCATTTCTCATCTGCCTGCTGTACAGCCTGTGGGAAGCTGGGGTCCGAGGATCTAACAGCACTGTCTGCTGGATGTCAGGCCTTTTTGTATCTCTGCAAAGTGCATCTGAGAGTGATGTGTGATGAGCACTGTCATGGTTTATATCTAGATATCTCCCCAAGGCCCCATGTGCTCATAGGTGGGGCTTTTCAGAGGTGGCTAGATCTAGGGGTATGAGTATAGATTACAGGTGTGTGATAACTAAATTAACCCACTAATTGGTTTACATAGCTTTGGATATGGACAGTGGGAAGGTTCACCCTGGTGTGTGTGGGACCTATCAATAGCCTTGTAGCCTGAATGAAATAAAAGGGGAAAGGGAGGCTCACTGCTGGCTGCATCCTGCCTACCCTCCCATGGACTGTTTATCCTCTGTGATACCCTCTGCCATGCTGCCCTGCCTTGGACTCAACCAACTATATAGACTGAAAGTTCTATAAATTGTGAGCTAAAATAAACCTTTCCTTCTCTAACTTGTGGCTGTCAGGTATTTTGTCCCAGCAACAAGAAAATAACTAAGACAGGTATGTACCACAGAGCCCTGGGCCAGCCCTTCCCCGACCTGTCTTCTGATCTGCTGGCCCCAGGGTTGGGCAGGTTCCTTTCCATCAGCATGGCCGTTTCTCTAACACAGGCGCCTTGGGCACCTCTGCCTTCAATGTGCCCTCTTCCACCAACCCTATGCATCCTCTACCTTGCCCAAGGCTGACCCCCCTCCTACTGTAGCTTCCTTTCTTGACTCCTTCTTGCAGCCCCCTCTGGAGTACCCCCTGCTCTACTGTCACAGGAGGGAAACACAACAGAGACTTGATCTCCCCACAGTCTGCTCAGCAGAGGCTCCCTCCTGCCCCCAGCAGGATGGCTTGGCCTTGGTTCCCTCATCCCCTCACCTGCCACTGGCCAGGAGCTGACACTGTAGAGACAGTCTTGCCCTCTGGATGCATTTGCCAGTCCTCTTCCTACTTAATTCCCCTCAGGGATTCGGGATAGCCCACTTGTTGCCACTGCCACACTGAATGTGAGCACCTTACACCTGTCCTGCCATGCTCTGCCACAGACAGCTCAGGAGGGAGAGAGGTGTGAATTCTTGCACAATCAAGTGGTAACTGTCTGATGAGTCCGAAAGCACCCGCTATCAACTCCATAGTGGGTCACACTGTGTCCACTGGGAACAGACAGACAGACAGACAGACACACACACACACACACACACACACACACACACACACCACACACACACTCCCAGTCCACTGGGGGCAGATATACACAGATAGGAGGAAGCTTGGGGACCCACTCTGCCCCAGCATTCCTGACTCAGACCTCTTCCTTTCCCCATGCAGGTCACCCTGTTCTTATCTCAGGCTCAATTCTACCTCAGGCTGATCTCAGACCAGACCAAGGACAGCAGCATGCCAAGACCTTGGTTCCCTGTGGGAGAGGGTGTCCAGGCCAGGATGGAGTCTGCCTGCCTGAGGCATGAGGTGTGCAGCCTGGATGGCTGAGTTTCCGGACTTTCCAGGACACCAGGAATCCACAATCTTGTGTGAAATCACTTGAAATGTTGGAAACACTCTGTGTGTTTTCTCCTAATAGTTTTGTAGATTCAAGTCTATGTTTAAATCTGTGATCTATTTTGAGTTCATTCTTAAATAAGAATTGAAGTCGGCTTCATTTTCATTTTGTACGTGGGTAGCTATTTTCCCAGTACCATTTATGAAAGAGGCTGTCCTTTCCACCATTGTATATTCTGGGCATCTTTGTCAAAAATCAATCAAGTTGAGTTTATTTCTGGGATCCGATTCTGTTGGTCAGTGTCTGTTTTTATACTAGAAGCATGCTGTTTTTGTTTGTTTGTTTGTTTTTTGGTACTGGGGGTTGAACTCAGGACCTTGCACTTGCAAGGCAAGCATAAGAACCACTGAGCTAAAACCCTGGCCTGAATCATGCTGTTTTGATTACCATAGTTTTGTGCCATACTTTGAAATTCAGCAGTGTAATGCCTGTAGCTTTGTTCTTTTTGGTCAAAATTGCTATGGATATTTGTGGAGTTTTGTGGTTCCGTGTGAGTCTTGGGATGGTTTTTCTATTTATGTAGAGAATGATGTTGGAATTTTGATAGGAATTGCACTGAATCTTTTGAGCACTTTGGGCAACACAGAAATTTTAATAGTATTAATTATCCCAGTCCATGAACATGGGATGCTTTTCCATTTATTTGTGTCATCTTCAACTTCTTCATCAGTGTTTTATAGTTTTCAGTATATAGCTTTTTCACTTCCTTGGTTAAATTTATTCCTAAGTGTTTTTATGTTTTGAGCTGTTGTTACATATGGAATTTTCTTATTTTTTTCAGCAGAGAAACACCACTGATTTTTATTTTTTTTTGTCCTGTAATTTTACTGAATTTATCAGTTCACATAGCTTCTGTGACACTGATCTGACAAGTGATTTTACTGCATATGATCCCAAAAATGGAGGCTATGAAAATGAAAATAGAAAAATGAGATTGCATCAGACTAAAAAGGTTTTGTTCTCAGAAGACATACAGATGGCTAGCAGATATAGGAAAGAAATACTTAACATCTCTAATCATTAGAGGAAAGCAAGAGAAAACCACAAAGTGATATCACTTCACACACAGTAGGTTGGCTACTTCAGAAACATGAAAGATAACCATCGGGCAGAGGGTGATGAGGGGCCCATGTGCCCTGTGGGTGGGGATATAAATCACACAGCTGTTTTGGAAATTGGTAAGGAGGCTTTTTGCAAAACTAAAATGGACCTGCTATGTGATCCTGATACAGATAACTTTTATAAATAATCTAAAAACCTACAAAATGTTAGGAAAATGTAAAATGACTTCTGTCTCTAACAGCAATCTGCATTGCTTAGTTCAAAATTAACAGACACTGGAAGAATTGACCGTGAAATGGGACATCTGGCTTCATCCCTAACCTTGAACACCCCCATCTGTGTGCTAGAATAGATAGCTAGACAAATCAAAGCTCTCGAAATACAAGAAATTATTACATCTGGGTTAAAGTTAACTATCTTGTGACCGTGATGTAAACTGAGAAATGAAATGTAACCACCTGAACGGGATCCTAACTGTAAAACCTATAAAAGAGGGTTGATCACTTGCACTGCCTTTTTGAATGCAATCGACCCTTTGCTGGCAAAATACACTTTTTATTATTTTACTTCCACTCAACTCATCTTTTTTTGTTTTTTGTTTTTTTTTTTTGAGACAGGATCTCACTATGTAGTTGAGACTGACCTGGAACTCACTATGTAGCCCAGGCTGGTCTCGAACTCACAGAAAGTGGAGGGCTGGAATTACGGGCACACGCCACCAGGCCTGGCTCACTCAGCTCCTTTTTATGTGCATGTCACTTGCCAATTCCTTCTGCAAAAATCCAGCAACCCCACTGCTGGGTGAGCCCCAAGGGAGCTGCAGCATGTCAAAGAGCACTGCACACCTGTGTTCACCATGGCACTGTTCTCAGGGGTTGAGACATGGAACGAAGCTGGGAGTCCTGAAGTGAAATCAGCCAAGGACAGATTCCACACGATCTCACTTATGTGTGGGAAAGGGAGAGCAGGTTGGCTGGTACATATTTCCATCAGGCAGAAACAGAAGCTCTGGTGGTCCGAGCACAGCAAGTGCTGATTAGTAACGCTACATATTAAAAAAAAAAAAAAAAAAAAAAA